GAAAAACTAATATTTCGGCGAAGCATTCATTCGAACTAAAAGTTGTAGAAAATGCTGGTAACGATGAGACCTGTTCATGTTCAAAATTTCAGATTGAAAATACGACATCCGATTTTATTAGAAAAGTTTTAGAATAGGTCGAGAAATGATCAAAATAACATTCATAACTCAACTTTAAAGACTTAGAAATTCAATCAAAGTTACAGCATTATACAGCTGACTATTGCCGATTTAATGACTAGAGTGTTCGTGGTGAAAAGAGTTCACATTTGGAAATCTTTCTTTGTGGTCAGTAGCCAATTAGCATGTTAGTTGTAATGTTGATGAAAGAAGCTTTGATAAACTTACGGCTGCTCCATTGTATCAATATTATTTTATTGAATATTGCTATAGCCGATTATTGCGATATTGTCGATTGTCTATCGTCAAAAACTTTGGAATCAAAGTTGTAATCTCGATTTCTAAAATGTATGATTCAAAGAATGAAGTAAAAGTTGAATTGACTCGAAAAAATTCATGTTTGGATTTTTTGAAAATATTGATGTACACAGTGGCGAAGCGATAATTTATTTTAGCACTTGGCCATTTCCCATTGAAGCTCTTTTGAAGACAGGGCAACCTTAGATAATTGAAAGACTCACTGAGGTATATTTTCTTTGTTGGTCCCTTGGAATTTGGTTAGTCGATATATATGCATCGGATAGCCGAAGTTACAAGACAGTATCGATATTTCATCATTGTCTTTTCAATTTTTTTACTCACTAAGATTGAAGCAATCTTTGTAAAGAATTTCTTGTTTCATTCTCCTCAAGAATACATTGAAATAGTTGATGTGAAAGAGAAAGTGAAAAAATGAAATAAAACTATTTTATAGTTACAATATGTTGACGTTTCTGAATAGTTTTCTCAGAAGATTCTGGTTGTTTTCTACAGTTCTACAAATTGAATAAATCTTGACACAAGTTGTTTACATTAATCACACATTGTTCTTTTTTTTTGTGGCAAAGAGTTAAGTCAGTATCAACAGCGTTTCATTTTGACTCAACATGGAATTTTTTCAAATGTGTCGAAAATTACGCAAATGGTGAAAAACATGAATATTTTGGAAGATTCAAGAAAACTAACATTTATTTAATTCTATAGGATTTTGGTGGAAGAGTCTTTGCGCATACTCACAGGCTACAACTTTCAAAGCACAACAGAAATATTAATTTAATTCTCCACTATGATTTGAAATCAGATCATACAAATATAAGTGAGCACGATTGGAGCATAAAATTTGTTGACTCTTCATGCTTGGAGCGTTTCTCGATCAGTTTCACTGCTTTTCTATCTATAACTATTATTCATCTGTAGTTTTCTATAGTATTTAATGGTGTTTTGTTTTAGAAAAGATTTCGTTCGATATTATATAAAATCCAAAAAGATACCAAACAAAAAGCTATATGGTCATTTATTGTACGACACCACTATTTTCTGTCCTATGATAACATTATCGAATCATAGAAAACTTAAACTGCTTTATACATATGATCGTTTGCTGTGACTAAAAGATACAAAGCAAAATGTTAACACTAGAGGCATTACAAGAAAATTGCCCCTTTCGGAACATCTGAATGCCTGTTTTCTTTTCTGTAGACTCTTCTACGATTTTTATCTTCGTTATAGAGTTTTCAACAACACAAGCCGGAAATGACTCAATTATGCCACTCCTTCATTGTAACTTGAAAATTTTCAAGTCAATTCTAATCAATAGGGAAGTCTAGGGAGAATACGGCTTTTTCCAGGCATACAGACTCGAATTTTGTTCCCCAAGTTCTCAAATGCTGAGTCACTGTGATTCCATCGTCGTCAAATGATTTAGAAATGAAATGGCTAGGTTAACGTAATTATGGATTATGACAGAAAGTTCACGCGTAATCCTAGCATTACAGCCTTTTAGGATAATATCTTAACTGAACACGAACGACTCCTGCTTTTTCTAACACGTTCCCATATTACTGCCTAGTCCAATCACAGCGTCATCCAATGACACAAGACTCGAAACGCTGAGTGATTGCGTTCGCTCGCTATGGGCTTAATCTAAAAAAAGATTCAATTTTTTTATATAAAAGACGTTGAAAACTTTGCAGCTATTTATATTCATATGGCCATTTAAAGCTTTCTAGCTATTAAATACTTATTCGCTATTTATTGAAGGTCAGACGCTTGCAAATATCTTCATGAATAGCTGTTTAATACGAAGCACTATTTAATAATTTGCAACACTAATAAATAAAATGGTCATTGTTTTTCAAAATAAGGGTCAACTATTGATTTAACGTCACTTATTGTTTTTGAGCAAGCGGGGGAGGAAGGAGAGTGAAACATAAAAATATCTTCATCGTGGTTAGCTATTTATTCTTTAGTACTATTAAAAGAAATTCAGCACTGATTGATAAATCTTTATAGATGTTTAAGTAGGTAGTAGCTATTTGTTTATGTTGAATGTTTTGATAAATAGCTATTGTATGTAATGTATTAGGTGAAAACGTTCAGTATTATTTAAAGTAAAATGGACCGCAACACTTTAAGACACTTTTTACTTCGGTGTTTTCTATAAGAACGAAAGAGGGTAAGACATATTTTGAGTGCTATATAGAGTTAGAGTGAAGGTCTACACATATCACTAATCGTGGATCAAACTGATTGTAACATAAAGAAAGAGAAGCAGCAACTTCAATCTTTCTCTAGCAGGCAAAAGTTTAAGACACTTTTAGTATTTTGTTGATGATAATTATAACTAGTGAAAAACAGATACAATTTTCAAAAATGTAATATTCGATGCGCAATTCAACGAACTATATTGTAGTATAAACATTTCTGAAAAAATATTAGTTGCCATAATTTAATATTAATAATTAAAAACTGTTATTAATTATTAATATCAAATTAATGCACTAATAATTTTCCAAGCACTTCTATGTTACAATGTCGTTCATTCAATTCGACATCCAGTAAGATAGTTTCAAAAATTGTCTCTGTTTTTCGGTAGCTATACCATCAACAAAATAATAAGTGTCTTAAATTTTTGCTGCCCACTTTGTATGGATTGCTATTAGAACAAGCTCGCACCATTTTCTATGAGTATATTTCGTATATTAGGCGTGCCTAGATTTAAGCCTTGATTATGCTTTTAAAAATTTTTGTTATATTGTACAGTATATTGTATTTATTTTCATCGAGTTAAGAAAACTCATAAAATTTGATTCTCATCAAGCATAACTGCTAAATGATTTAAATAGCTCCGATAATGTTGTAAAAGCACCGCATTAAAAATATTTATGGAGCTTTAAATAGTTATGATAATTTAAATAACTGAATGTGTATCTAACAAGTATCTCTTTTGGGAAACTACAGTTTTCCACAAGCATCATATTTAATTTTCGGCAAGACCAATGTTTTTGAGATAATAAAAGAACGCAATACCGAACGGTTACAGTTCTACGGTGACACTCACAAACCAGATTGGCAATCCACGTTACAGACCCATTCTGAGGAGAGTGACTGTGCAGCAGCTAATCTATGCTGTTCATTTCTTAAAGAATTTCGGGAAGTTTTGGCCACAAGGACAAGAAATTACAATGATACAAAAATAAACCTATACAAGGTTAATGGTTCTACTTGGGAGTTGAAAAATTTGCTCGGCACTCATAACAACAAAGACCTTGTGAAAAGACTGCAATTTTGAAAGACATACATTTTCTAATTGTATTCGTCCGAAATTTTGTATGTCGATGACAAGAATAATAGTGTATCTTATGAATCTTGTTCGATGACTGAGAAAAAGCAATATGCTTTTTTTATATACGCCGAGAAATAAGTGAAGCTTTTGTGCATTTATGCTTACATGTCAATTCATACAGCATGATTTATTTACCACATATTGTTTCACCAAGCGTGTTTTATTTACGATGCTCTGAAGCGCTTACAATAGAGGTAGGATATAAAAAGGAAAAAAAGAGAACAGAAAATAATAAGATAACGAAAAAGACACGAAACCACAAGTTTAAATACACCATCAAAATATGACTTAAAAAAATAGAAAACTAACGATTACGAACTTTTTCGTTGTTATGCTCGTAAATGTCACACTCGACAGCGCTTACATGATAATATAAGAAGAAATCATGATATTTTAGCATTGAGCAACAACATAAATACGATGAGTAATTACAGCTGTCACCAATATCATCATACAGAGTATTGACTCTTATTGTGTAGGTGTAAGAGAATAAATACAGAGACCTTAAGAAAAAAACGATAAAAAAAATCAGAAATTTGTGACGAAGCAAGTCAATGAAAGAGAGAGAAGCGAAGCGAAGAAGAATGCTCGTAAGGGTTTCAAAGAAAACAAACAAGAAAAAGAAGAAGCAAAAAAAAGGTAAAGATAGTGTTAGCGGTGATTCATTCTTATTTCTTTCCCTTGATATCCTACTATATCTTTCTTTTCTTCTTCCTTTCTTTTCTCTCTCTCTTCTTTCTATATTGTATATGGTTATATATATATGTACGTGTTGTTAAGGACATTTAATTATTCAGTCAGATATATAATGAAATAAATAAACATCAGCTCGTCGAAGGAGCTAACAATTTGGTGCCGTGACTCATCTTCTTCTATTTACTATATGGAAGAAGAACGAACTTATTAATTAATTTACTCATCCGTGACGGAAAGAGTGAAATACCATCTCATTCCTTCAGGGAAAGAGAAACATTATATGTTTATATACAAATTAATTTAAAAATTTGATGATCATCATAAGGTATCTTTCTTCTATATAAAGTTCATTTTTTTGTTCTTCCTTTAAGTGCATATATATATATATTTAACAACGGCTACCGGTACAAGAGGAGCGATTAAAAAAAGTGGAGCAAATCTTTTATCATATGAAGTAATTACCAATTCACCAACACGAATAAGAAATAAAAAACAAAACGATATGTCATTTATGCAAGAAATGGAAACAACCTCGACGGAAACTCGACAACTTCATTCAAGCCAAAAGGAAGCCATGAGAAAAATAACTGAATTTTCAGGAGAAGCCAATGAAATTGATATTGATGAATGGCTATTCGACTTGAACAATTTATTTTTATTAATGAAATTAAATGATGAAACGAAAATTCTTGAAACAATGGGTAAATTAACAGGACCAGCATTACGATGGTATCAAGAAAATTTAAGATCATTCGTTAATTGGAACGATGCTGAAAAAGCATTGCGAGATCAATTCAAAGAATTTACATCTGACAGTCAATTAATGCAAGCATTTTTTTATATTCGTCAAGAAGAAAACCAATCTGTTATATCATTTTACGAAAATGTTATGGGAAAATATAGAAAATCTCGACAATTTATACGTAGGTAATGTTAGCACCAGATTCGCGTATTTCCTGTGCCGATTCGCCCCTACGTCTGTGCTGGTCCCCTACTTGGTTGTGCTGGATGCAGAATTTAATTCTCTATCGAATGGTGACAACTCCGGCGGGGGTCGTCGAGCAAAAAATTCGGTCCACCAGCAAAAAACCGCTTTTTCCTCCATGTGACGAATTCGGAAAAGATGTAATTCCAATCCCGATTCGCCCAGGCATCTGTGCTGTGCACCTCTTTGCTTGTGCTGGATGCAGAATTTTACGCTCTATCCAATGGTATAAGTTTTAGATAGCCTTGTCGTCCAAAAAGTAGGGGTTTCTGGCCAAATACCATCCCAAAAATCACTTTTTTGCATTATCTCCTATCCCGATTCGCCCCTACGTCTGTGCTGGCCCCCTACTTGGTTGTGCTGGATGCAGAATTTAATTCTCTATCGAATGGTGACAACTCCGGCG